CATGTCTGCGGGAGATGAGAACATCCATTTTCTAACATTATTATTTTTATTTCAATTATTTTTTTTTCTTTTGAGTTACATTAATGTCATTCTGATCTTTATTTTGTAGTTGTTTTTCGAAAAACTTTTCCTTCATTTAGTTTAGATCTTTCTTCTCTTTTTACATACATTTACACCTTACGTAAATTCTATGATACAATAAATCTTTTTCGTTTACAATAACTGTTAAGACTTAAACTAAAGAGTAATTTAATTAAAATCTTTTCTTTCTTTTTTCAGTAGAACCAGTCAGTGGTGGAATCATCATAATTAATGGAGAACATCAGGACCACCAGAACATCAAAGGACCAGACCAGAGCAATACATTCCGTCAATATCGGCCCAGTCAGAGCAAGAGGAAGATCAAGAAAATGTAATTCTTTTTTTTAATTCAATTTTTGTCTCTTCTTTTATATCTTCAATTGTTATTTCTTATTCTTTACTTACCTTATTTTTCTTCACTTACCTTTAATTTTTTCTTATTTTACTCTCACATTACATGTTTTATTTCTTTCACTTAATTTATTATATCTACTTTTAGATCTTTATTTTCCTTTTATTTGGGCTTTATTTAAATACTTATAACAGATCTTTTTTAAATTCATTTAAACCTTTTCTTGTTTTTTTCATTCAGACTTTTAATTTTTGCAGTAGACAGTAACTTAATTCAAATCTTTTCCTTCTTTTTTTAGTTAGTAGAACCAGTCAGTGATGGGCATCTGAGCCAACAAGAGAAATCATCATAATGATTGGAGAACATCAGGACCACCAGGACGTCAAGGGACCAGACCAGAGCAATCCATTCCATCAATATGTAAATGTAATATTTATTTATTTATTAAATTTTTATCTTCCTTTTTCTATATCTTCAAATGTTATTTCTTATTCTTTACTTACCTTATTTTTCTTCATTTACCTTTAATTTTTTCTTAGAACTTCTACTCTCACATTACATGTTTTATTTCTTTCACTTAATTTATTATATCTACTTTTAGATCTTTATTTCCCTTTTATTTTTGGATTTTATTTAAATACCT